GGGTGAGAAGTCAAAGGGAGGACAAGGTGACTGATTGGGACGAGGCAGCAGGTCAGCACTTGGCAGCTGAATCAAACTGAGTCAAGGCTTTTCCCCCCAACTATTATCAGATATATCATCTGGCTCTGTCAACAATTCTGTCCAGCTGGATGCAGTAAACGTATTACTTACACATGTGCACATGAAGAGGGACATACACACTCACAGAAGTACACTCTCACACACACACAAACAAGAACACTTATGGAACACATATTAGTAGTTGTGGAAAATGGACAATAAATCTAGGCAATCAATATAATGTCATTCAATGGGTGTGTTAATTTGAAAATGAAATATGGTGCAAATCTGTAATCTTTTAAGTACAATGCAAGTTACCCCGACAATACTAGCAAACCGAATCACTTACACAGGGACATAATTATAATTGAAAACCACCTCTAACATTTGAAATATGACAAGCTATTAATCAAAAAGTTGGATAAACTATGCTCCTCTAACTCCAACTAAGGACGGTGATAATCAAAATGAGAACATATGGGGAATACCAACTACCATCAATTAAAGTGGACTCACACAAGTGGACCGATTCCGCTATGGGCTTTTGAAAAAAAAAACAATTATGTTCCACATGATTATGTAAAATACATTAGCCAAACAATTAGGCAACTATAATTGCATCTAATATTACACATTGATAGAAAAAAGAAACTAACCCACCAATCTAGAAAGGTTTGATCAGTCCCTTTCTAAGAAACCTCAGATACACAATACTTATTTTCAATAAATTATTTTGCCATTTAATTCACAGGATTTGCATTACAAAATTCAATTACGTGGAACACCTGAACTAACATTGTCTCCTAGCCAATTATACAGTGTCTGGGAAACCATTGGCAAACAAATTACCAATGTTAATGTGAGAGATTGACTTGATATTCTTGGCGTTTGCACACAAAGGCAGCACAGCCTCACCCCTCCCCTGTTATTGGCTATTGTTGACTGACGAATGAAACAGCTTGGCCTTGATTTGAGAATAAAATGGAAATCTAGTCTCTGAGGCTGTTCCATAGAAATAGAATAGTTATTCAATAGAATAGTAATTATATTTCTATGGGCTGTTCCCTCTCCTCCATTGCATAGACAATCAGTGATCCTCAGAACCCTATTGTCTGGCTTATCACCATAGAGATACATGGTTATCACCATAGAAATAAAATCAATTTCTATGGTTACCATCATCCACATTATGAGAAACTTTTTTAAGAACGAAGAGATAGCCACAATTTCAATTTAACCTTCTCTTTCTCCTCCTCCTTTTCTCTCCATCTCTTCTTTCTCTCATCTCTCCTTAACATTTCAGCCTAACTTTAAAATATTCAACAATGAAAAGCCATCATAAGAGATCTTGGCAGTACTATTGCCCTGTGAATTGATTTAATCTTTCACTAAAAAAGATTAAAATAACAGACTTGTCAAATAAATATATGGAGTCATTGACCTCAGCCAATCCTAGAGTGGGGAGTCCATACATCACAGTCCATCTCTGTTACACACAGTGAGTCTCTCAGGCTCAGTACAGGGAGTCCAGTAAAGGACAGGAGACACTACAGCTGCAGTTCATATATCTACAGCAACCTCCTGTGGCCATGCTAAGGGGAATTAAGGATTCACTTGCTACGGATAATGAGTTGTGGGAAGGTGTGATTTCATTACATAGAAAGATCAAATTAAAATACTGAAATATATGTTTTTTAAAGGTATTGTTAAGCACGTACGGTACACAACACAATTGTGTCCAATTGCCTGGAAAGGTGTGTATGCATATGTCTGTGTGTGGATGCGTGTGTGTGCAAGTGTGTGTCCATGTGTGAGAATGCACAGCAGAGAGAAATGTATGTATTCAGTCACAGCTCTGGCTATGAGGATTGACAACAACACCTCCTCCACACTGACTCTTAACACAGGGGCCCCCCAGGGGTGTGTCCTCAGTCCTCTGCTGTACTTCCTGTTCACCCACGACTGCATGGCTTTGCACGACACCAACTCCATCATCAAGTTTGCTGACAACACCACGGTTTTAGGCCTGATAACTAACAACAACGAGTCAGCCTATAGGGAGAAGGTACGTGAACTTGCATTGTGGTGTCATGACAACAACCTCTCCCTCAACGTCAGCAAGAAAAAGGAGTTGATTGTAGACTTCAGGAAGCAGAGGAGGGAACATGCCCCGATCCACATCAGTGGGACTATAGTAGAGAGAGTCACAAGTTTTAAGTTCCTCTGCGTCCACATCACAGAGGACTTTTCATGGACCAACAACACCACCACTCTATATCCTAAGGCGGCTGCAGAAATTTGGCATGCCACCCCGGGTCCTCTCCAAGTACTACCGCTGCACCATCGAGAGTGTCCTGACCGGTTGCATCACGGCCTGGTACGGGAACAGCTCTGTCCACGACCACAAGGCCCTCCAGCGGGTGGTGAAGACAGCCCAGTACATCACTGGGGCCGTGTTAACACCAATCCAGGACATCATCTCAAAATGGTGCCTGAGGAAGGCATGCAGCATCATCAAGGACCCCACACACCCCAGTCATGAGCTGTTCTCTCCTTTACCATCAGGCAGACAGTATCGGAGCATGAGGTCTGATACCAACAGGCTCAGAGACAGTTTCTATCGTTGGACAATGTATACTATGCGTATCCCGTATATACGATTAATACAACTTGAATCATTACAAACCAAAGCACCACCTGTCAATATCTTTTCATCACATTTTCCCATATACTCCTAGACCTAGTCTATCCACCCGTGGTGGCTGGCGCGCGGTCGCTCCCTCCGTCAGAGTGATAAGCTCTCTCTCTGCAAGGCGAGAAGAGGAGAGGCGGGAGAGGCCAGGCAGAAAGGAAGGGAATCTGAGTTTGACATAAACAGCTCAGGAGAGTAGTGTTGGCAGCAAGATTGATGACACCCTCCTCGCAAAGTAACAAAGGAATTCCTGCGCATGAAGGCCTGCTTATGAAGCCTGATATACTTGTCATCCTCTTAATAAACACAACTGATATGTCAGCAGCAGCAGCAGGAGGGACTGAACCCGATCCAGCAGACCCACCCACCCACAGGCAGGACCACCAGCTGGCCTGGCACACCCGGCCCTGGGCAGCCCGCTCCATAAGGGGGCCCCGGAGGGCACTGGAGGGTAGCACCAGGTGATGATCAGACCGTAAACAGGCAGGATATGAAGTATGAATCAATACTTCACAGACAGTAAAACCCTTAACTGCCTGTTAATGTCAGAATGGGTTTGCCTGGCAATTGTTCAATGTAACCAAGCTGAGGAAAGAGTTCCAGTAATCTACAGTCCAGATTGTACTGCGCTGAGGCTGAAAGCTACTTGTATGGTTTAGTTTGAAGGTTAAATAAGATACTTGAATGCACGACTATTGAGATGTGTTTCATAAATACAACACAAAGACCCACACAACAGTTCAACTACCTTCAGTTGAGAAGTAGTTGCCATCAAAATACAATTTTCTTTTTTTGTGTCAAAGAGGACAACAGCTGTGCCCCTAGCCAAAGCAACAGCCAAAACTCCAGCAGTCCCTTTCCAAAACTCTCCAATCACAGTAATGCTTAGGGGATATTAGTCTCATTATACACTGAAGCACTGGAAGATGCAGAATATGTTAGCATATCATTTGACTTTTGCCAGTGGCTGGGTTTTTACTGAAGGACAGACTAATATCAGACAACTCAAAAGGGAAAAGAACACACTGAAGAGGATTAGATTAAAAAGCTGAATTTAAAATCTTCATGAAATAAATCTTTGGTTAAAGGCCGAGTACATTCAAAAACATGATTCTCCTGTGTTTTATGTATATTTCCACCTATTAGGTTGGAATAATACTGTGAAATTGTGAATATGATGATAATGCCCTTTTAGTGTAAGAGCAATTTTAAAAGACCACCCGAAAGTTCAGCCTGCTTTGGTGGGATGGAGTTTTAGCCTGCCTGGTGACATCATCATGCTGTAACTTAGTTAATAGACCAATAAGAAAGAGAGTTTCAGTTTTCCCCTTCCCACTCAGACCACTCAAAATGTTTTTTTTGGTATTTTTTTGGTATTCTTTCTTAAAACTGCATAGTTGGTTAAGGGCTTGTAAGTAAGCATTTCACTGTAAGGTCTACTCCTGTTGTATTTGACAAATAAAATTGGATTTGATTTTGATTTGACAGTCCTAGCACAATTCTTGAGAAATTGCTCTTTGCTAAGAAGCTATATATGTTTTGTTGTTGACCATTTTAATTGAAAACAATCACAGTAAGGTACTTCATTTTTACACAGAAATTATTAGATATTGAGATATAAAAAGGCTGCATTGGACCTTTAACAGTGCATTTCTTCCTGTATTATAAATAAGAAAAAGTAATCCAATGGACAAACTTCACATCAGCCCTTCTGATTTGAGCTTCATTGGTTAAAAAACGATATTACAAATACATTTTACAAGCTTGAGATTCCAAAACAAACTTTGTGTTGATTGTTTTCTACAGATTTGGAGATGCATCACCAAAGTGTACAGTGCTAACATCCAACAATAACGACAGACAAAATTAGGTCCAATGCCTTTTGAACAAGCAATATTTTATCAAGTTATGATAGAAAGCACAGATATAACAGACTACAACAGTAAACACAAAAAAATCATGGGGAGAAAAAGGGACATATAGTCTGCCATTTACAATATTCACTTATTTTTCACCGGAAAGACCTTGTCTCTGTCACGATTCAATCTACAGCCCTCTCCCCAAACGCTGTATAATACCTAGTTAAAGCCAGCAGGGTGTGAAATGGTGTTTTGAAATAAATGAAACTGACTATGAAACAGTGGAGTTGGAAGATATTGCTATGTCAAGCTGACAGACAAGGTCCGGAATGAAGCAAAAAAGTTATTATCACAAAGAGCAAAGCTGGATTAAATAAAACCCATGATGCCTAGCACTGAGCCTCTTTCTCCGTCAGCAGCTCTGATTTTGACATAGAAGAGGCAGAATGCCTTATCATTCCAGAAGGCATCATGGGAATTAAATATCATCGTCTCCATTCGAAAATCACATGTTGACCTCAGTTCTGAGTACACTACATGACCAAAAGTATGTGGACACCTGCTCGTCGAACATCTCAGTCCAAAATCATGGGCATTAATATGTAGTTGGTCCCCCCCTTTGCTGCTATAACTGCCTCCACTCTTCTGGGAAGGCTTTCCACTAGATGTTAGAATGTTGGGCGATTAGGCCTGGCTTGCAGTCGGCGTTCCAACTCATCCCAAAGGTGTTCGATGGGGTTCAGGTCAAGGCTTTGTGCAGGCCAGTCAAGTTCTTCCACACCGATCTTGACAAACCATTTCTGTATGGACCTCGCGTTGTGCATGGATGCATTGTCATGCTGAAAGAGGAAAGGGCTTCCCCAAACTGTTGCCACAAAGTTGGAAGCACAGAATCGTCTAGAATGTCATTGTATGTTGTAGCGTTAAGATTTCCCTTCACTGGAACTAAGAGGCCTAGCCCGAACCATGAAAAACAGCCCCATTTGCATTTGCAGTTTGGTAAATAATGTATTGTGTCATTCTGGAGTCACTTTTATTGTAAATAACAATAGAATATGTTTCTGAACACTTCTACATTCATGTGGATGCTACCATGATTGCGGATAATCCTGAATGAATCGTGAATAATGATGAGTGAGACATTTACAGAGGCACAAATATCCCCCCCCCATGATATTTATGCCTCTGTAACTGTCTCACTTTCACCCGATATGGATGAAATACCCTCAAATTAAAGCTGACAGTCTGCACTTTAACCTCTTGATTATTGTATCATTTCAAATCCAATGTGCTAGAGTACAGAGCCAAAACAACAACAAATGTGTCACTGTCCCAATACTTTTGGACCTCACTGTAACCACAATATAAAACAAATTCTAAGCTGAAAATCATGTACTTTGTGCCTGAGTCACAACACTAAGTATTGAATCCAAGCAGGATTGGTACAAATGGCCTTTCAAGCACAATTTACAGTATTTAATGATGCCATATTAATTAATGTAAGTAGTCTTTGGTTATTGATGATTCAAATAAAGTGTTAAATGGATTAGGGAAGCAGCATCCCAAAAGACCCCTTTAGCTTTGATTTACATCTCCAGTGGTGACAAGTCACAGGGGAAGACTTTGGGTCATTGGCTTAGTGATATAATGCATGGGACATTTAAAGCTAAGAGACAGGCATATTGTTAGCCTTATTTATTTTTAAGGTGGACTCTTATCCTGGGTTTAGATGGGTCCTGAGTATCAACAGACATACTGATATATGACAGACATGGGACAACAGGGGTTGAGGTTGTGGAGGAAGAGAGAGGGGGATGGAGGGGTGAGAGAAGGGAGGGGAGGGGAGGGGAGGAGTGTTTTGAGAGGGGGAAAATATTTAGTCTGTGCAGTTGGGAGGTTGGGGGGAGGGGGAGGGTCGGTGTCATGGATGAAAGACTTGTATGGAAATTGAATCTCGCTTAATGCTTTGTCTCTACTGATCTTAGCCTCAGACAAACCTCTATCCCTCCTGGGACAAAGAGTACAAAGCTCCATAGGGAGATTATTGTACTGGATGAGACACTTCAACACACAGCACTTCAACACACAGTCCGTACCAAACGTTTGACTACATTAGATATATTTTCTTACTAATGGAATTGGAGAAATAACTACCAAAACAATATTGCATGCTAAAAATGTATATGGCAAATAATCGATGTCATTGCCATAATAGATCTGATAGCAGTGCTCTGTATTGGTCAGTGGTTCCCCCTGCTGGTGAATGAGCAGACATGTATAAAAAGGCTTTCCCCATTCACATCTGTTTTGTAGCTGTTGGTGCTGACTTATCCTAACTATCCATATAAAATGTTAATAACCTTGCTGTATTATTCATATAGAAAATATATAGTCTTTAGTTATATTATTAAAAAGATAGACCAGTCCTTCTCTTTGATTTTTGAGAGTGAGGATCCAGAGAACGAGTGGGTTAAGTCAGAACGAGGCAGAGACATTTGAGGACTAAAACAACATTTAACAAAATGGATTCCTCCCAATACTAACTGTAATTGCAGTACTGTAATAGATATGTACCACTAAACTCTATGAGGTGCATTTATAGGCTTACCTGAGAATGGGACCGGCAGACTTTCTGTGTCGATTGGACACCTCCTGTGGTGGAAATCTAGCAGAAACGATAAGAGATGCACAGTAAGTACAGGGAAGTACAGCAGTAAAAAACAAAACAGAGAAACAACTGAACTGGTCACTGCATGGGTCACCACTACTTCATGACAGTTGGTTGGGAACTTAGAACTTACTCTGAGGAGCGGATTTGAGAGAGGACCAGATTGAGACCACAATGTAAACCTAAGGGTGATGTAGTCGTCTGTGGACAGAGATAGAGGACAATCTTAGTGTACTTAGATAAACAGATTTACCACACAAAACCCCACACACCACTAAATAATTAGGTTTCCATAAGTCTAACTATATATGGGTTCATCATTTTATATGAAAAACTGTGTTGAAATAACATCCCTCAGGACTCACCTGTCATGGACATGGTAGTTTGGACCTTTTGGTACCAGTCAGAGTTGAAGCGATGGAGGTAGTCAGGAAGAGCTGTGGAGTCTTCTTTCTCAGCATTATCTCCAACTATAGCTTTCTTCACCTTCTGGCTATAGAACCTGCAAGGCAAATACAGTCATCATCCCATAGGGCGGTGCACAATTGGCCCAGCGTCATCCGGGTTTGGCCGGTGTAGGCCGTCATTGTAAATAAGAATTTGTTCTTAACTGACTTGCCTAGTTAAATAAAGGTAAAATAAATAAAAATAACAATCAGATAGTAAAAGGTCACATGGTCGGGAAAAATCGTTTGGCCTTAGTCATAATTTATCATTCCTGTGGGCAAAAGGTGGGGAGGGTTTTAGAAGGTGCTGGGCACACTTGGGATGAGGTGTTGCTCACACACTCACTTTTTCCAACAGAAGACGAGGTTAGGGAAGATAGCCATCATGGCTTCATAGAAGAGTCCTCGGTCCACCTTGCCGATGGCAAAGGCCTGCTGGATGGACTCCTTGGCACTCTCTACTATGTTGATCTATAGGAGACAATGAGGACACCGGTAGATTAGAATCATGAGATAGGTGAGATAGACACTTAGAGGATTTAAATTATAACAATATCCACCTGGAGTCTGTGTTCTCATTAGTTTTTAATCTAATTTCATACTCCTTGAATTGTAATGTAAATAGCAAGGTAAATACTTCACACATGCTATTGATCAGCTCTAATATGTTAAGACTGTTCCTATGGAAGGGCAGGGGGGCTGGGAGGGGCGAGATACGGCACAGTCAAAGGATGAGTTAATAAGAAAACAGTTCAGGAGAGATCTCTGACTTGAGGAACAGTTTGCAGATCATTTCAGCTTTCTGGTGGAGGGCATGGTCATTCTCCCATACATGCCACTGACACCATTATAGTGCCTGAGTCTGCCATGTTCCTGACACGAACAGCCATCACAGCAGACACAAACACAAAAATAGTTCCTCTGTCACTTCAATTATGGTAAGTAGGCAAAATATTCATAAAATATTGATACAACGTTCTTCATATTCAATTGACTGAACAATTAAATTGAAGTTAGTAGACAATCCTTCTCCATAAAATAATTTCCATATTCAATTTAAAACAAATAAAATCATCAATAGTTAACTCTCTGTCTCCAGGTAAAATGACAGATCGTTGACTAGGAATTCCATCGTTATCATTTTGTGGTTGACGACCCACCTCTTCAAGTGGGAGGAGTCTCCATCCTCTGAACCCAAGCTGACTGATTCAATCTGCTGGCTTTCCATTTTTTATTAAACCTTTATTTTGACAGGGAAGTTATACTGAGACTAGGGTCTCTTTTTCATTAACGGCATGTACTCTGAGAAACATGGAAAAAGACACCTTTGTTACTAGATGGGTGATGGAGGTGAAACTGCTAACTCTAAATCTATCCCTAATAACATCAGCTACATCACAAGTAAAATACCGGAACTGTAAAGCTAAACAGGGGAACTTACTTAGAGAGACGTCACGCCAGTTGTGTCTGAGGGATGCCTCAAACTTGCCCCTGGTCAGAATGTCCTTCATGGCATTCCGGAATTTACAGATGCTTTTGATGAACCAGGAGAAGATGCTCAACACATGTTTTTAGAAATAATTTTGTGATAAAAGAATACTTAATATTTGAGAAATATAGACATGCCACATTAGGAATTGAAGGTGTAGTTGGAAAGATGGCTGTCAGAAGTATTAGAATATAAATTTACTTTTAATTAGTCTGTCTGCATATTTCAAGACATTGCATATGAGGGTGCAATGAGATACCCAATGGGATGGACAATACTATTCTCAACAATCCTCTAAAAAAAGTTAACTTAAAAACTGGAAATCAACCTATCCTCTGACGTTCACGCAATGGAAAGGTAAAATGCTTTACTAGAAAAAAATGGAAAGTGTGTGGGCGACGAAGAGAACACAATCGTGCAGTTTTGCCATGTGGCAGAAAGTAATACAGGCGCTGGAGATAGGGGTGAGGGCTAGTGGGTCTGGGCAGGTGTGATGTAACTGATGTTCGTATGATGCCGTCGTTTGTATGTGTCGGTCATTCCACCAAACCAGTACGATTTGGACCAAAATAAAAAAAAATTATTCTTCTGAATGCCCCATGACATGAAGGACATATTTAACCTCCAAGAAAACATATTTTCCCATCTCAGGCATCAATGACTGTCACGCCCTGGCTCTGGGGACTCTTAAAGGTTGAGCCAGGGTGTGGATTTTTCTATGTTTAGTTTTTCTATGTTTTCGTTCTAGATCGTTTAGATCTATGTTGGCCAGGGTGGTTCCCAATCAGAGGCAGCTGTAGCTCGTTGTCTCTGATTGGGGACAATACTTAGGCAGCCTGTGTTGCACTAGTATTTGTGGGATCTTGATCCGTATAGGTTTGTGTTGTTGTAACCTCAGGACTTCACGTATCGTTTGTTGTTTTGTCGTTAAGTACGTTAAATAAAGTATGTACGCTTACCACGCTGCGCCTTGGTCCGTGTCTTCAGTCAACGATCGTGACAATGACCTATTGTTATCTGCCATTTTCTTTTGATATAGACACCATTTGTCTTCAACCCCATTATGGACAATACGGTAGTTGTTTGAATATGATTATAAAAGATACTTGTAATAAAATCAACATTTCCATATTAATCATATGTCCCTCAAACTCATTCAATAATTGCAAATATAAAATGTATATAAAATCTTTACTTTTTGATATATTAAAGCCTGAAATGGACACTGTGTCAGCAGCCTCATCGTTTTTTATAAAAAGTATGGTTTCACTTCAGAATTTGAACTAAAATCAATATTCTCATTATAACTCTAAATATTTCAGACTGAGCTCAACAAACATTAAATTAATATTTCATAAACGTTCCAACATTTTATCACAAAAATTGTCATGTAACAGGGTTGAGACTAGGGTAACGGTGTTGAAGATGGTCCTCTGTAGCTCAGCTGGTAGAGCACGGCACTTGTAACGCCAAGGTAGTGGGTTCGATCCCCGGGACCACCCATACACAAAAAAATGTATGCACGCATGACTGTAAGTCACTTTGGATAAAAGCGTCTGCTAAATGGCATATTATTATTAAGATGGTAACGGGGTTGAAGAGACAAATACGGCTTCCATATCAATTGGTTTTGTTTATTCTCAAATTCACTCCAAGATTTTCTATAAACATTGTATTTCAAAGATATAACCATGTAATGAGGACAATTTATATCAATTTGAGTTAAACTGAGTTGTATTAACCAAACTGCAGTAAAAAACTAAGCAACATTTCAAAACACTCCTGGAGCGAACTAAGCAGGATTTCATAAGTTGGTCATTTCTTCCTATTTAATTAGCAGGTCGCATTACAGTTGAAGTCAGAAGTTTACATACACCTTAGCCAAATACATTTAAAATCAGTTTTTCACAATTCCTGACATTTAATACTAATAAAAATTCCCTGTCTTAGGTCAGTTAGGATCGCCACTTTATTTTAAGAATGTAAATGTCAGAATAATAGTAGAGAGAATTCAGCTTTTATTTATTTAATCACATTCCTAGTGGGTCAGAAGTTTACATACACTCAATTAGTATTTGGTAGCATTTTCTTTAAATTGTTTAACTTGGGTCAAACGTTTCGGGTAGCCTTCCACAAGCTTCCTACAATAAATTGGGTGAATTTTGGCCCATTCCTCCTGACAGAGCTGGTGTTACTGAGTCAGGTTTGTAGGCCTCCTTGCTCGCACACGCTTTTTCAGTTCTGTCCACAAATGTTCTATGGGATTGAGGTCAGGGCTTTGTGATGGCCACTCCAATACCTTGACTTTGTTGTCCTAAAGCCATTTTGCCACAACTTTGGAAGTATGCTTGGGGTCATTGTCCATTTGGAAGACCCATTTGTGACCAAGCTTTAACTTCCTGACTGATGTCTTGAGATGTTGCTTCAATATATCCACATCATTTTCCTTCCCCTGATGCCATCTATTTTGTGAAGTGCACCAGTCCCTCCTGCAGCAAAGCACCCCCACAGCATGATGCTGCCACCCCCATGCTTCACGGTTGAGATGGTGTTCTTCGGCTTGCAAGCGACCCCCTTTTTCCTCCAAACATAACGATGGTCATTATGGCCAAACAGTTCTATTTTTGTTTCATCAGACCAGAGGACATTTCTCCAAAAAGTACAATCTTTGTCCCCATGTGCAGTTGCAAACCGTAGTCTGGCTTTTTTATGGCGGTTTTGAAGCAGTGGCTTCTTCCTTGCTGAGCGGCCATTCAGGTTATGTCGATATAGGACTCGTTTTACTGTGGATATGGATACTTTTGTACCTGTTTCCTCCAGCATCTTCACAAGGTCCTTTGCTGTTGTTCTGGGATTGATTTGCACTTTTCGCACCAAAGTACATTCATCTCTAGGAGACAGAACGCGTCTCCTTCCTGAGCGGTATGACGGCTGCGTGGTCCCATGGTGTTTATACTTGCGTACTATTGTTTGTACAAATGAACGTGGTACCTTCAGGCATTTGGAAATTGCTCCCAAGGATGAACCAGACTTGTGGAGGTCTACACATTTTATTTCTGAGGTCTTGGCTGATGTCTTTGATTTTCCCATGATGTCAAGCAAAGAGGCACTGAGTTTGAAGGTAGGCCTTGAAATACATCCACAGGTACACCTCCAATTGACTCAAATGATGTCAATTAGCCTATCAGAAGCTTCTAAAGCCATGACATCATTTTCTGGAATTCTCCAAGCTGTTTAAAGGCACAGTCAACTTAGTGTATGTAAACTTCTGATCCACTGGAATTGTGATACAGTGAATTATAAGTGAAATAATCTGTCTGTAAACAATTGTTGGAAAAATTACTTGTGTCATGCACAAAGTAGATATCCTAACCGACTTGCCAAAACGATAGTTTGTTAACAAGAAATTTGTGGCGTGGTTGAAAAACAAGTTTTAATGACTCCAACCTAAGTGTATGTAAACTTCCGACTTCAACTGTAAGTCTGTCAAGATGACTGTACTACCTAGGTTTTTGTAGTTATTCCAAATGATTCAAATTTTTCTGCCGAAGTCAATGTTCAAATAACTAGACAGCTGCAGAAAGGTATATCAAGAGAGACCTAAACCCGCAGGCGGGCTGGGCCTTCCCAATTTCTTAAACTACTACTGGTCAGCAAATATATCTAAATGTGTTTATTGGGTTTCTACATTTGAAAACAAGGATGGTCCAACTTGGACTATCATGGAGTTACAGTCAAGCCTTCCAACTTCTCCTGTCTCGTTACTGTGCTCCCCACCGCCTATATACCTTGGCACCCATGTTTTGAATCCCATTGTCAAGAACTCCCTTAAAATCTGGTCCCAGTTCCAAAATCACTTTAGCCTTAAGCAAGCAAGCTGCTTCTCCCCATTAACATCTAATCATCTTTTCCCAGCATTGCAGACAGACACAGTATTCCAGTTCTGGTATAGGAATGGCCTGGTGTTTTTTAGTGACCTCTTTGTTGATAACACCTTTGTCTCATTCAAAACTCTGAGGGTTGACCATAATATTCCCAATACCCACTTTTATAGGCATCTCCAATGGTTCTAATGATGTCAATGTCTCTATGTTCTCAAATTTGAAAACGTACAAAGAAAGTATAAATGTATTAAAAAAAAGCTGAAACAAACAAAAACATTGCAGACATTGATAACATTGATCATCAGAACAAGTCAACAGGTCAGAACAGGTAATCTTACTGAACAGGTAATCAGAATCATAAAATGTATGTAGGCTGCCAGAACCGCTGTTACTACAGAACTGTCATCGCTACCATCCTCTACACTCCTCACAGCTACTGGATGTCTGGAAAGCCTTGAAGAGACCTGGGAAAAAGATGGTGCAAATAATGTAGGAA